CCATTCAAGTACAGGGGTCACTCATTTCATTGTTGATTTTATGACAGGTCAATGTTTATTGTTTTTATTTTTATTTTTTCAATCAGTAATTTTTCTGATCTTCTTGTTCTGTAGTGTAAACATACAGAGAAAAATATTTTAAGCAGCTTTTAAAGGTATTTATTGTAAAGGGATCACCTTTGCTAAAATCGTGCTTTCTACATCCAGGTTTCAGGGGGAAGAGGGTATTTTTTTGTCATAATAAAGGAGGGAAAAAAAGCAGGAAGGGCAGGCAGTGTTGCAGAGGGCATGGCTGTGAAAGGACAGGCAGTGGCTGGGGACTGAAAACATGCACTTGGGAAATGAGACAGTTGAGTGAGATTTTATTTTTAGTAGAATCCTAGGGATCCCTTTGAAATGAACCTTCAATAATCCTATCCAAATTCTATATTCTGGGTGCAATTGGATTTCTCACAGTAGCTGATAAAGGAGTTAAAATCAGAGTTAAGGTTGCACAGAGGTCAAAAAGAATTAAGCTTAAGAGCAACAGCAATTTTATATTTCTTTATTGATTTTAGAGAGAAAGGAATGGGGAGGGGAGAGAGAGAGGATGAGTGAGAGACAGACAGACAGACAGACAGACATCAATGTGAGAGAGAAACATCAATCATTTGTTCACTCCCACCCCTGCTGCCCACTCATGATGAATCATGTGGATACATCAATGGATAAAACAGAAAAGCAGTTTCTTTCTTCATGATCCTTGGCCATTTATTTTAGTGGGGGCAATAGATAATAAAAGAAGAAAGTAAGTAAAATATAAAATATGCAAGGCAGTTATAAAAGATAACCAAAAGCAATGATAGTCTATAGTGACTCTTGCAGAGGGTGGTGGCCTGTGGAGGTCTCACTAAGAAGGGGATTTTGAATACAAACGTTGAAGTGAAACAAGTCAGGCAAATGTACAATCTTTTATGGTCAGTGCAGCGATGAGGCCCGTGCCATCATTGCTTCAGCACCATCACCAGAAACATGTAATGCCATGGACCATTTTGTGAACAAGTTCACCGCCCAATGAGGGGGCTCTTCTGCTAATAGAATCCCTTCCAATAAGGGACTTGAAAAGATGGTGCACAGGGTTTAGACAACTGTCTAAATGTAAATCACCCCTCACAAGCCTGAAACTGCTTAATCCTGCCCAAAAGAATGGAGTAGGGGAGGAAGGGGTGATGTTGAGGTTGCAATGAAAGGTAGTAGTAGAGCTTATAGAGCAACTGGGATGATGGGATACTTCACATTTAATATTTTTATTTTTTAACTCTTAAAATCATTCATTTTGCAAACTAAATGATTGATTGATTATTATAGTACAATGAAATAATGAGTAATGGTATGTCTCTCTGCAGTAAAGACCATGAGATTTGGAAAACTGAGAGAAATCTGTATAATCACCATTGTCTAGACCAACAACTTCCCTCTTTTTTCCTCTGCTGATTGACTAACAGTTTTCACTGGGAGGACACAATATGGGTTTGCAGGTTTATGCAGGACCCCAGATAATCTGATACCACATCAAAGACCCTATTGTTCTACATTAAACACCTTTTGTATAAAGTCTTCTGAGAAGACCATTACTAAATAAGATAGGAGAGAGGGGAGGAGACCTTTGGATTCTTTTGGAAAGCCAAAGATGGAGTTAGGAAGCTGCTGAAGTTATGGAGATCCTTAAGTGTGTCAACTCATGAAGAACAGCAAGAATGCAAAGGCAGGTCATTCTGATAGCCATTACAAGCTAAATGTTCTAGATTGAGTTAATGATCCATCATCAGTGGCAGCCGATGAGGATTGGATCAGGAATATCTAACCAGAAATGAAGATAGCTTGACAAGTTAGCCAATGAATTTGTATTTGATTTAAGAGACAATTATTTTAAAATTATATATTCATACATGTATAGTTATAAATACATAGTTAAATATTATCTCTATAAAATTTATGTATAACAAATTATATAGATAACACATGTATATACAAAATATATAGTTAACATAAATTTATTTATATGTATATATAAAATAGTTGGCTGTAGCCTCTCAGTGGTTGATTTTTTGGTAAAAAAAAATTCTTGCATTAGACAATAGAGTTGGAGAGTACAGTCTCGCTCCCCTGAACTGGGAGGCTGTTTCAGGGTGCTCCAAGGCTCTGTTCTTGATTTTGGAACCATGATTTGTTTCTTTTTGAAAAGGGTTCCCAAACTGACAAACTCCAGGGCTAAAGAAGCCTGGGTCCATCATTCCCAACTTTAACCACTTTAAGCACAAAACATTCAGTCCCATGTGAAAAGTGCATAATTCTAGTGTAGTCTGATATAAGGTAAAACCCTAGGCTCATTAAATACTTTCTCATCCCCCACCATGGGTCCAAATCAAGCTTTGAAAGTTTTTGGGGGTGGGGTGCTCCACTGGCTTCTCTTATCTTTGCTCCCCTCCTGCCCTGATTAGCCTGTGCTCCTGACCTCTCTAAGGCTGATCTCAAAGGGCTCAACCTTAGAGAGTCACAGGTCCTTGGTGAAGTGCAAACTGGTGTGGGTGTCTGCCAGCGCAATAGACAATCCCAAGTGGAATAATTTTCTCTTACACAGGACTTTGGTGAATTCCTTGGCAATGTTTTCTCTTAAGTCTTCTTGGATGCTCACCTGATGAGGACAATATTTTTTCTGGTCTCGCTACCTGTGACTCCTGTTCCTAGGTTCCAGTATTCACCCCTTTGTTTTGGCATCCCTTTGCTTTTTCAGATAAACCCTCTGTGGTGTCCCTTTAAGGGTTCCCCATAGCAAGATCCACATTTGGACTCTGAGAAACTTTTCTGGCTGTGGAAACGCAGCTTGAACCAAGGCACTCCCCTGGCCTTTACTCTGGGTTTCAATTTTCACAAGTCTCTCTAAATCACTTTCCCTTAGCTTGAAGCTATGGGGAAGTGCCACCTCTGCTTCCCCTTGTGTGTGTGTGTGTGTGTGTGTGTGTGTGTGCACGTGTGGATCAGTATAGTTCACTGACAACTTACTCCAAAAGAATCTTCCCAGTTCTTCAATCATTTTAGGTTGAGGTCAGCAACTAGCTAATGCTGACAGGATCACTTTGAGACTGCTCTCTCTTGTCCTCCACACCGTTTTGAAAATCTTGGAGTGGTTTAAGCTAGCATTGTCTTCAAACATATGTGTACTTGGAGCTTACTGTTTTGTGCTTAATCTCGGAGGAATTACGTGGAAGCAGGTAGAGTGGCATTTAATAACCGGTGACACTCCCAAATAGGATAATGTAGGACCATGGAGATAAACAAGTGAGGAAGAATATTTTGGCAAATAGAACCAATTTGCAAAAATGGCAAGGTAGTCCTGTAATGTGAGATTCTGGCCACCCAAGTCTGGAGGGACAATTTGGCACAGTATGCTCAGAACATAGACTTTCCATTTTTGACTCGGCCAATCTGCTACATCTTTATTTAAAGTGATCTGTAATTTCCTTTTCTAATCTAGGCTTTGACCTCTAGGTATAATATTTAAGACAGCAAGAGGGTGGCTGTTTGAAATATAAAATCTAAGAACTAATGGATACTTTTCTTATTGTAAATGGGATCACAAGAAAATGTTCCCCACAATTTTGTTTTCTTTTTATTTCCTTGCTCATGTGGGTCTAATTCTATAACAAAACCTTTGGACTTCTATAACAGCTTAGAAAAATTTGCTGTCCAAACATCTGGCAGGTTAACTGGTCCTGACGAAGAAGTAAGATTTCATTCCCATCTCCATATTGTGTTAACTCTTTGTGACAGCATGAATGGAACTGGAGAGCATTATGCTAAGTGAAATAAGCCAGGTGGTGAAAGACAAATACCATATGATCTCACCTATAAGTGGAACCTAATCAACAAAACAAACAAGCAAGCAAAATATAACCAGAGACATTGAAATTAAGAACAAACTGACAGTAACCAGAAAAGAGGTGGGCAGGGAAAATGGGGGGAATAGGGGGAAGGGATTTTAGTAAAATTTATAAAGGACACATGGACACGACTGAAGGGGGGCAGGCACAAGGGTGGGAAGTGGGGATGGCTGGGGTTGGGGGGCTGGTGGGTGGAAAATGGAAATAACCCTACTTGAACAATAAAAAAATCATTAACTACAAAAAATAAAATAAAACAAAACAAAATAGACACTAGTTTAAAAGATTGTATTGGATCACTAGGATGAAATGATTAAAATGTTAAAATCTTTGAATATAGATGATCCTTGTTTACCTGTACCATAATGGTGGCATTTACTTTTGAATTATCTCAAATTTCAGATACTTATTTGGGGGGTTGGACAAAGGACTCACGCCTATAAATATGGTTGTTTGCCTTGTTAAAGTAGAGTCATCTGCCACAAAACCTACATTAAAACCAATAATCTAGAAAATTTTCAGCTCCTTTTGCCCGCCCACAAGATTGAGTGAGCCAGGCTAGACTGAATCAGAAGGTCTTTCGCAACAGACCAGTAAGATTTCAGCCGCTACAAGGGAGGCGTGGTGAGTACTCGCACGAGACCGGAAGGTACCGCCTCTGTGGCGGTGACCGGATGGAGGAGGAGAGGACCGGCCATCCTTCTCCTTGAGCATCCAGTTCTGGAAAGGGCCTTTCTTTACCGAAAACCGTTTTCCAGGGGTTGGGAAGACGCCCACCTGGAGGGAAGGCCCACTTCTTTGAGCTCCCATTTTTTGTTACCTGTTCATGCTCCCATTCCCTTTCCCTGTTGTATCCCTGTACCAAGAAAAGGATACTTATAGTGTCTCAGTTGCAACCCCCTTAAAAGGGGCGACTATCTCATTCCCCAAGTCAGAGTTCCTCCTGCCTTTATGTAGCTGGGAATTGGCACCGCGAGGTGATTGGCCCCGGGGACCCTGAAGGAGGGGCAGAGAGTGCGCGGAACTCCGCTTCTGCTCCTGGGGCTGGAAAACAGCCCCTCAACTCTCCCTCCCACTGCCATGCGCCTTTCAGCCTGCCTGTTTCCTGTGGTTGTGGCCACTGTACTGTGGGCAGCAGCTCCCATCTGGGGACTCATTCGAGCGACTTTGGACCACGTTTCCAGCATGAACTTTGCAGACCTCCCAGCTCTCTTTGGGCCCACCCTCAGGCAGGAGGGACTTCAGGGGTTCCTTGTGGAGGCTTACCCAGCCAATGCCTGCAGCCCCATTGCCCCACCACCCTTAGCCCTGGACAGCAGGCCAGCCTTTATTGCACTGCTGCGAAGATTCGACTGCACCTTTGACCTCAAGGTCCTAAATGCTCAGAAGGCTGGGTTTGATGCAGCTGTGGTACATAATGTGAATTCCAATCAGCTGGTGAACATGATGTGGAATAATGTGGCTATCCAGCAGCAGATCTGCATCCCATCTGTGTTTATTGGGGAGAGGAGCTCTGAGTACCTGCGTGCCCTCTTCCTCTACCAGAAGGGGGCTCAGGTGCTCCTGGTCCCAGACGATAGCTTCCTCATGGGCTATTACCTCATTCCTTTCTTAGGGATTGGAGTACTGCTGATTTTGGCAGGAACCGTGATGATAGTTCGTTGTATCCAGTACGAGAAAGAGCTCCAGCAAAATCGACTGACCAAAGAGCAACTGAAGCAGATTCCTACACGTGACTATCAGAATGGAGACGAACCTGATGTCTGTGCCATCTGCTTGGATGAATATGTGGATGGGGACAAGCTGAGGGTACTTCCCTGTGCTCATGCCTATCACAGCCACTGTGTGGACCCCTGGCTCACTCGGACCCGGAAGACCTGTCCCATCTGCAAAAAGCCTGTTCATCAGGGTAATGGAGAGGAGCAGCAGGAGGAAGAAACTCAGAGGCAAGCAGGCGATGAGGAAGGGGTGCCAAGGGTCCAGCACCCTGTCTCAGAACGGACCCCACTTCTGGGTTCTGGCCTCCCACTCCCTACATCCTTTGGCTCTCTAGCTCCAGCCCCCCTCCTTTTTCCTGGGCCTTCAACAGATCCCTCACCTTCTCCAATCCCCTCTTCCTCTTCAGATGCCCTCCTGATCTAATAATCCCCCACCCCACACCTGTTTGTACAGCCCCTCTTTCTTCCTCCAGTCCTCTATGTTGGTAAATAGGAGACATTTGCTTCCCAGGCTTCTCCCTTACTTAATGCCATTCTTTTTAGGGATTTGGGGATGCAAAGAGATTGGGTCTTTACTTACTGGGTTAACAACAATTTTTGTGGACTAAAAAATTATTCAGATAGGTGTAAAACCTGTGAAAAATTATTTGAAGAGAGTATTTTTATAATTTGTGTCAAGAATGACAACATACTTTGATACTTTATGTGAGATTATTCTTAGAGTGTCTTAAATTTACTTTGGGATGATTAACATTTTCATTTGGTCTCATAATGCGATTTCTTATATCTGGAAAAATTTCAGTGCATTCCCTTTAACCATTTTTGATTGGGATGAATATGAATGAAGTAATCAACACTCATCTAAATATTTAATTGTCATCAGTTGATGCCTAAAGAGTGCAAAACCATTAAAATGCCTGCAAGGTCATAATAAAAAACAACTCAGTTTTGGGCCACTTGTCCTCTGCTTTTTCCATGAGTTAAATGGCTGTGTAAATACAATAGATTTAATTGCTTTATATTGAATAGCATGTGCTCATTTAGCCCTTCTAATATAATTGGGGTGGAATTTTAAAAGAATGCTATCTAGCTTTGTCTTTTTATTGCTTGGAATTAAAGACCTATTTAAATAAAGGAAACATGCAACATCAAATGCTTTTCACATGGGAGTAATAATTAATTGTTCAACCACGCCAAGTATTTCCTGTGTCTGGAACTGCTTTGTGTAATTATTTAAGATGGTAGTTAGCTAATAGAGGGTCATTAAATATGCCCTTTCTTTTTAGAAATTAAGGTCATTTTCATTCTTTAATGATTGTTAATGTTAGCTAAGCTAGTTCTCATACGTATGACCAATTTCAACTCACTTAAAACTTCTAGACACTAGATTGACAATACAAATGATGAAATACTCTCAGTATAACACTGTTACTTGGGTGAGAATGTTCTGTTTCATGCAATCCTTAACATAAACACAACACACTGAAAAAATTCTATTGGGAAACACAATTGTTATCAGAAGAGATCTATTTACATTAATGTATAGTTTTATTTTTTATAAAGATGTATTTAAAATCACAATTTTAGAGCTGAGATGACCCTATTAAATTAATTGTCAATACTATTGCAACTGATTAACTGTTTTATTTACTATGTTATGCTTCAGTATTTTTATTTTGATATTTCTCACAGCATGCATTCTTTGGCATGAAGTTATGTTAAAATTCATACATGGATAAACATTACACACTGTTGAGGGCTGTAGTATGTTGGAAACCCTAAGGAACAGACCCTGAGCTGTAGTTTTGTGTGCTTAAGGTGATTTAAGAGTTGGGGAACAGAACTGGGCAGAAAGAAAAGTTACCAGAAACCTCAGCAAATCTCCCAGAAAGCACTGAAGTTGGACTAGCCCCACAGAGGTGTTCCAAATCAATGAAAGGGGCGGAGTCCACAAGCCCCTGACGTGACTAGTCATTTCCTAAAGGGCATTATAGAGAAAAAAGCATAATCTTGGACTCAGTAGCTTTGTTTGGATAAGGACAATTCCTGGAGAGAGACGCAGCTGAGAACCTTTGGCGACCAATGCCCTTAGTAACTGTGGGAATGAATGCTTCAGTGCTGAAGAGGGCAGGTCTGGGTAGACCACTGAGATAGTTACCATCAGATTTACTAAGGGTGGGTGGGTCCAAAGAATAACAAGTGAGAAACTTCACAGCTTCCTTTCTGTTTTAATATGATATGCTAAGGTTAGTACCAAATGTGAGCCACATATAGAAAGTGCCCAATTAGTATTTATGTGAGCTTCCTCTAATGTGAGTTAATATCAAAAGAGTGGCCTTTGTTAAACTGAGTTGGTGATGAGATCAAAATAGGAAGCGAAGACTCCTGTTGGTCATGAAGGAAATGTTCACACTACAGAAATTGGCAAAAGCTACTCCCACACCACACACCATCAAGATTGGATTTATTATTTTGTTGATTACCTAGACTTAAGAAAGTAATAGAGAAAATTTCAATGCAAGTTAAACATATGGGTATCATGTCTATAGCCATTACATTGGGAATAGCACAAAAATTGAGGAAATACCTGATTTAGCAAATAAGTCCTCACATCTGTGATGAATGAGTGAAGTTGTCATATACATCTTCATTTTTTCCCTTTTGAGTTATTAAGATAAATGTAAGTATTAACTAATATTTATGTCAGAATTATATTAGTTTGTCAGCGACATGAACAACTTTCTGAACTGGAAAGTAATCAAGCATTTATCCACACAGAAGTCCCCTTGTAGGCATAGGAGATAGGTTGACCTGCAGTGGATGCTTGAAACTGCAGATAGTACCAAGCCCAATGTAGGCTATATTTTCTCCTAACATACATACCTATAATAAAATTTAATTTATAAATTAGGCACAATAAGAGATTAACAACAATAACTACTACTAAAATAGAAGAATTATAACAATATACTGTAATAAAAATTATGTGAATGTGGTCTCTTGCATGCACATGCTCAAAATACTTCATTCAACTGTACTCACTCTTACAGCAATGAATGATGTAAGATAATAAAATGCCTATGTGATGAGATAAAGCATTGTGATGGAATGTTAAGGCTTCTACTGACCTTTGGACAATACATTACAAGCACTTTGGCTTTTCTGAATTGCCAGCATTACTACTCTTGTGCTTGGGGGCCATTATTAAGGGTGAAATAAGGGTCACTTGAACACAAGTGCTGCGGTACCATCACAGTTGTTGTGATAACTGAGACCGCTACTAAGTGACTAATGGTCAGGTAGCATATACAGTGTGGAAATGCTGAATGAATGAATGATGCATGTCCTGGGTGGAAGAAAGAGGGACTGTAAGAAATTTCATCATGCTACTCAGAGTGGTGCATAACTTAAAACTTATGAATTGTTTTTTTTAAATTCCTTTTTTTAAATATTTTATTTATTTATTTTTAGAGAGGGAAGAGAGAGAGAGAGAGAGAGAGAGAGAGAGAGAGAGAGAGAGAGAAACATCAATATGTGGTTGCTGGGGGTCATGACCTGCAACCCAGGCATGTACCCTGACTAGGAGTCAAATCTGCGGCACTTTGGTTCCCAGCCCGCACTCAATCCACTGAGCTACGCCAGCCAGGGCATGAATTGTTTATTTCTGCAATTTTTCATTTAATATTTTCAGACCACAGCTGACTGTGGGTAACTGAACCATGGAGAGCAAAACTGTGGATCAGGGAGAATGGCTGTGTTGATGTTAGAAAGGGTACTGTAAGTTCCTTTGCCTCTGACCATTTCTCTGGAATGGCTAGAGATAGCCATTCTAACTCCACACATTAAAGAAATCTATTCATCCATTCATCCATCCATCCATCCTTGAACCCAACTAATCAATCAGTCATTTACTCTGTAAACATTAGGTTGTGCATTGGTTATAAAATGGTATGCAAGACAGATATGTCCCTGCCCTCATGCGGTGAAGGGAATATTAAGGATATGATATAAAATGTGATAAATACTGTGATAGAAAAATATGTCTCTAATACTTCTCAGAATAGAGGCCTAGAAAAGCATGGGGAAGGAAATAAAAATTATGCTGAGACCCCAAGGGTGTTTAAGGGTTTGTCCAAGAAATGAGAAGAGTCTAGGGAATTTAGGCAAACTGAAACACAGGGAAAGAGAACATCACATATTCTATAATAAGCACGGAGTAAGGAGTGACAAGGCTGCCAGTATGGGTAGGGACTAAAACTTGAAAAGTTCAATAAACTGGTTAGAGAGTTTGAAGTTCACATCAGGAGTAAAGTGTAAAGCATGTGTTACCACGTGGGAAGAGGGGGCATGACTTGAGCCTAGGAGGCCAATTAGAAAAGGTGCAGTAACTCAGGTGACAGAGGATTGTCCCCTGACCTCAGATAGGGGCTGTGGTACTAGACAGATAATGTTATCATTCAAGAAAACTCTCTTAGTTCCAAGGGCCTAAAGGAGCATGAAGAGATCCAAATGAATAAACGTTCACAATCAGAAGACACAGGTAAAAATTCGGTCTCTATGCACATCAGTTACATCACCTTTGCAAAGATGATTATTTTTAATGATTTATTTTTGAGAACTGTTGCTTAGTTTCTCCCTTCAACAAAGTTGATTAAAGTTTGTTACAGTTCAAGAGGTAGAATAAATAAAAAAAGAAATTTAAATAGAGGAGATAATTTTCTCTAAGTTTGTTATTTAACCTAAAAATAAAATCAACAAAATGCCAGATTGTGCTTACTGTACATGTACTCTGACCTTTCAATATAATGTGGTTGAACAGACCAGGGTCCCCTGTGGTCTCCTTTGAAAGGGATGAAGACCATGAATAAGGACTAAAAAGCTGAGAGGGCATTTCAGGTCTGGAGCTATTGTCTTTTTGACTGAAAAAGGCATTAAGGCATTTGGGAAATTAATTTTGGAAGAAGACGAATACAGTAAATAATAATGATTGCACAAAGTCCTGTCACTATTGGTTTATAAAATCTCATTCGCAGTTCTAAAGATCATATCTATATTTCTATAATATTTCACTCAGTACTATGTAAATATGATGCTTAAAGGATCTCCATTAGTAAATGTGATCTTTATTCAACGTTTGACCATATTTAATGATTATTTGTGGCTGATTTGCTTTTTCTATCACTGTAGGTTATTGTTTTTGTTCATTTAAAATGGCTTTTTTAAAAAGATAATTTTATTCACTTAACGATGAAGAGGATCTTTGATTGTCTGAGATTGCCTGCAGTGGCTTTAATAGTCGGAGATGGTTTACTTTGCCTGGAAAAGGAAATGGGACCCTAGGATTACACCCTTGAGAGATGATACTTCAGTTCCAATTGGGATTCAGAGAGCAACTGCAGCCTGTGGTAATGCATCTTCAACATC